ATAGCGACGAGGATAATAATGAAAATTATAGTGTGATACCAGAAACGTTGGATAAGGATATAACACAAATAGTAACAAATTCTAATTGTTCACCCAAATCAGTTGAGAATATATTAATTTCTCATATTGATGTCCAGAAGATAATTAAGGATCTATTTTTGGTTGAGATGCCGACAGATTTCTTTCAATTTTACGAGTTTTGTAAAAATGTATCCAAGGATAATCCTCTTTTAGCATTGAAATCTGTTGGCTTGAAACTTGTGGGTCCATATGATGTGCTAAATGGTAATTTAAAAAATTCTGAAACTGAGGATGATAAAAATACCTGACACATTGGAGATATTACTACGACCCTCCAGAATTTCAGGTGAATAAGATATATTAATAATCTCTGAGTTTTGTACATGATATTTAGAGAATTACGAATATAGGTTTAGCACTTATACAGGAATTTTATTTTTAGACCATTATAAAATGCAACGACAAGGAAGGTTTACATTTCGGTTATTGGCGAGATGATGTCATAGAAAAACCAACATTTGTTGCAAAGAATCAAGCAAATGTGAATTGCATATTTGAACCTGTTGCAGAAAATATATTCGGTACTATCGAGTAAGTAGATATAAACATTTGAGAAATATATATCTTTATATATCCATTCCCATTATTTATATTTACATTACAGCATTTATCTGCAAAGCAAAGTGAAATCGGCCAATCCTTTTGAAAAGACCGCTGTTATGCGTTTGCATTCCCACTTGAAAAACTTTGCTAAACAGCATAATATATCTCTAGAGAAAAACACCATGGATATGCGATCAAGAGAGAAGCGAGTCGTAGCGCGAACTTTCCACCGAATAGGCATTGTAGTCCCTTATGATAAAAAGACTCAATTGGGTTATAGAGATTTGGCTGCGACAGACAGTAAGTACATACAAGAATAGAACTTATAAAGTTCTAAGTAAAAATTATTTTATAATTCAATCTTATTCCCATGCTACTCCTAATGCTACTCTATGCGCATATGTGATTAAATATCTTTTTGATGTGTCACACAGATGATTTGCAAAAACTATTGAAGCAAATAGAGGAGGCTGGTAATTCAGATGAGAGAAAGATACCAATATCAAAACTCGATGAAATCGTAAGATTGGCAACGATAGCTGCAGATGAATGCGATTTTGGCACTTGTTTAGAGCTGGGACACGATCTCTTCGCAAACGGCAGTAATCATGTTCAAACTAGAGCTTTACAAATGCTATCACTTGCTTACACTCATTTACAAAGGCTACAGCTATTAAAAATACTCAAAGCGCACTTAAAAAACAGAAAGAAAGGTTGCGAATTAAGCATAATTTAAAATAAACTTGTTACACATTTTATGTGCGAAAAAAATTATATAAATTATTAAAATTTTTATATAAAATTTTACAACCAGTTTAGCAGTTAAAACTTATTTAAATCTTTGGAACAAATAACTGTAATGTGTACAAAGAAATTATAGTCATCCATATTTTTAAGAAAAATTTGTTGTGAGATGAGACTCAAAGAGCCAGTGAATAATAAAATAAGTATGTAATGTTGATGGAATTAATGCTGATTCGCATATTTAATGAGGAGCAACATCACAATTGTATTACAAAATAAAAAAAAAAAGAAAGGAAACCTATGATAAAACAACGATGGTATAACTTTACATGGCAATTATAAACTATACATAACGTATTGTTATTTCACACTGATTTACTAGATCGCGAATAATACCCGTTCTTTCAAAACACTATCTAGCTAACAATCAAAAACACGACAAATCGATTATCTCGTTTACTTTTGAAGCTTTTTGAGTTCTTTATTTTTACAAAGCACAAAACGCACATTATTTTTTAATATTATATATTGTATTAAATATATATATATATTTGTTCGAAGTTCCGGAAACATTTAGACAATTACAAATTGCTTAACACAGATATTTTTTATTAATAATAAATAAAATAAATTAATAAATGAATAAAACTTAGTTCAATGATATGAGATTGTATATTCTACTTACTAGTGTCTTTTAATATATGTGAATTTCGCGCAATAAATAGACTATAAATTTGCGATAAAATAATACATAATTTTCCCTTGTAAAGTAAATTTCCGTTCCAACAATCATAGAATTTTGTTAGCATAAACTGCAGACTGCAAATTAGCGACAGTTGAATATCAATTAATACAAAAAATATTTTAATTAAAATTGTTAATTTTGACATTTAGTGCGTCTTTATGATATCAATGCATACATCCAGAATCATCCAAAGATCTTGAACTTTTTCTGCAGTGTCTTAAAACAATTAAATAATATTTACATATATATATATACATATGTTTTCTCTTTTTTATCAATAAATCGGCACTGATATTAGTGCTTATATAATATGCACGGTTTAAAGTTAATTTCTATCAGAAACAGATCGTAATGTGTGTAACTAACTATATATGCATAATTAGCACATATACTAGTTCAATATACATAATCAGCAATTATACCGTGGTCTGATGCATGTGCACAGTGCCGGATCTACACATAAGCTAGATAAGCTACAGCTTAGGGGCCTCACATTATAAGGGGGCCTCTTTAGTATAGAAAAGATTTTAAAAAATGTATTTTTTGTTAATAAGAAGGGGCCTCCTTAAGATCATAGCTTAGGGGCCACAAAATCGTACACCCGACCCTGCATGTGCATAATCGAATCGCTCTTCAATATGTCATTGACAAAGAGTTTTTAATTGAGTGAGCAATTACGACATATACAGGGTGTTTCATTTTCTATTCAGTTTACCGCATTCTACCCGCACACGAGCGCTGGCACGAACATTATAAAACACCCTGTATAAAAGAATATCCAACCAAGAGAATATTTGTAGATATAAAACATTTGTGATCAACATATTTGTGCTTTTAACGCTCGTCAACTGCGTAAATACATTTATTGCGAGTGATTTAAATTATCAAAGAGTGTCACAGTTACTCATGTCTTATTACCAATTTAATCGACGAAACTACCATCCGACAAAAAAAATCAGCTTTCGAATTTTGAAAGAAAAGTAAGTTTTATCTCCTTATTTCAAAGTTTCGCTGTGCAAAAAAAAATAGAATTAGCTGGCACAGTAATTTTCATAGTGTCGTAGCAAAGGATAAATTATAAAGGTATTTTACTATAATGACGTAAAACTTGCTGTGCCAAAAAATTTATTTCCGTATTTAATAGGAAGAAAATAATGTGATAAAGTTTATAAATTGCTTTATGAACATTAAATTAGAATTCATCTTTTTTTTATATTAAAAAAAATTAATGTTGGAGTTATTATTTATAAAATGTTCGTTCAGAATTTGAGAATCGTCTTTATTATTGTTTAGCAACCAACGGAGAACATTTTGAACATTTGTTATAATAAATGACAAAATTTTATGCAGTAACTAGGCCTTACTATTTTCTTAAATATCTCCTAAAATAGTGATCGAATAAAAAAATGTTTCCTATAGAAGTTACTTGTTTTTTTTGTGTAGAATAAAATTCTGCAATAAAAAATATAGGTTTCCAATTAAAAAAACAAATTTGACCTTCAATTTACGTTGAAAACGCCTTCTAAATAAAAAATTGATAATGCCGTTCTCTATCCCCCTCGAAATCATGGAACACGTGTTTTAGCTTTTTTTTTGTATCTTTCATACTTTTCGAGATAATCAGCTGGAAAGTTTTCAAATAAACACCCTGTATAAGCCTAATCAAACAGTTTTTTAATGTAATACCGAATGAGGATAATGATGTACAAAAGATGCAATTGCTGTTGAAAATTTATATAGAGTTCAATCTTCTAAAACAATAGATGTTAAAAAACAAGATAATATAATTTACATAACACTATAAAATATACATACCATATCGTTATTTAACACTGATTTTACTTGATCGCAAATAATTCCCGTTCTTTCAAAAGACACTATCTAGCTAACAATCAAAACACGACAAATCGGTTATCTCGTTTACTTTTGAAGCTTTTAAGTTCTCCATTTTTATTACAAAGATACAAAACGCACAATTACTTTTTAATATTATTATATGTTCAAAGTTACGGAAACATTTAGACAATTATAAATTACTTAACACAGATATTTTCTGATTAATAAATAAATAAAATTTAATTCACTGATATGAGATTGCATATTCTACTTACTAGTGTATTTTAATATATGTGAATTTCGCGCAATAAATAGACTATAAATTTGCGATAAAATAATACATAATTTTCCCTTGTAAAGTAAATTTTCAACAATCATAGAATTTTCTTAGCATAAATTGCAGACTGCAAATTAGCGACAGTTGAATATCAATTAATACAAGAAATATTTAAATTAAAATTGTTAATTTCTCAATTTCGATATTTAGTATGTCATTATGATATCAGTGCATCCTTAATCATCCTAAGATCTTGAACACTTTCTGCAGTGTTTTAAAACAATTAAATAATATATATAGTTACTAGTGTAACTAAGTATGTATGCAGGGTGTCCGGTAATTGCTGAATCGCTTCTCGGGTGTAGGTAGAACGGGTTAAACCGAGTGGAAAAGTCCTCTACCGTTTTGCGATTTTTGTAATAATTAATGAGAAATTAATTAAAGAATATTGGCTAATTTGCGCGAATCTAAGCGCGCGGCGAGAAGAGACAGCCCACTGTTACGTGGTCGCTAGGACGCAAGAATCTAGCCTTACGCACCGCTGGAATGCCGTTGACATTTGTAGAACGCTCCTTCCAACGCTTCATCGCGCGCCTAGTAATCAAATAACAGTGGGCTGTACCGCCACGGGTCTCTTCTCCGCCGCGCGCTTAAACTCGCGCAAATTGGTAGATATTTTTTAACTAATTCCTCATTAATTATTGTGAAAATCGCAAAATGGTAGAGGACTCTTCTACTCGTGAGAAGTGTTGAGAACTGTCAAGTGTTTACTATCGTCTCATGACGCATTGCACCGTCCCTGCCTGTCCATTGTATCGGATTCGTAAGTAGCCAACTATTTTCAATTATAACTCGAAAACTAAATTTCGAACAAAATTTTGTAAACGAAAAAATTGTCTCAGAATTCACTCAAGAATATGGCATTGCAAGAACATCAGGTTATTTTGAACACATTACGATCTTTTTTTTTTTATACAAATTAACTTTTAACCGTGCAATGTGTAACTAAGTATAATTAGCACATATACTAGTTCAATATACATAATCAGCAATTATACCGTGGTCTAATGCATGTGCATAATCGAATCGCTCTTCAATTTGTCATTGACGAGTTTTTAATTGAGTGAGTAGCAATTACGACATATATAAGTGAATATCCAATCAAGAGAATATTTGTAGATATAAAACATTTGTGATCAACATATCTGCCCCTTTTAACGCTCATTAGCTGCATAAATACGTTTATTGCGAGAGATTTAAATTATCGAAGAGTATCACAGCTAATATCTTATTACTAATTTAATCGACGAGACTACCATCCGACACAAATCATCAGCTTTCGAATTTCGTACGAAAAGTAAGTTTTATCTCCTTATTTCAATGTTTCGCTGTGCGAAAAAAAATAAAATTAGTTGGCACAGTAATTTTCACAGTGTCGTAGCAAAAAATAAGTTATAAAAATATTTTACTATCATAGCGTAAAACTTGCTGTGCCAAAAAATTTATTTCCGTATTTAATAAGAAAAAAATAATGTGATAAAGTTTATAAATTGCTTTATGAACATTAAATTGATATTCATCCTTTTTTTATATTAGAAAAAAGTCATGTTGGAGTTTAAAGTTCGAACACTATCACGCTGTAGAAATGACGTTATATTAACCGCTCTCTTCCCCCCTCGCGCATAGTATGATGAAACGGCTTTTCTAGTCAGTTTCCAACAGATTTTCTACTAGAATGTTGTCTTGTATCTCTTAAAGTAACAAATCACATTTAAAACACATTTTTATATTATTTACTGGTTCAATTGCCAATATCTTCAACAATCTATAATAGAAATATTTTATAACAATCAATCATTATCCCATTTCAAACAATCCAAAATTCAAACCAAAGCTCTATTTCTAACTTCTTCTTGGTAAAGACATGTAGCCTAAAATATTTCCTTATATAATAATTTCAGTTTACATATATCTCAATTTGATAAAAAAAATGGTGACCAAAGCGATGGAGCTCGAAATGCCTATGCTTCAAGAAGTGTTGGAGGACAGTTGTGGAAGTGAAGATTTTTTGGAAGAGTTATTGTGTAAATTTCGGCAGTGGCTAAAACAGCAAATTCATCTTCCTCAAGGTTTGTACTTTTAAATTTCAATTAATTTTATCGATCAACTCGTTAATTAGCATCCAAAAATCTACAAAATATAGTAATCTGATAATCACAATATTCTGGTTTAAATAATAAAAAGTCATAGTTTTATTCATGACTTTTTTATCGTCTTTTTCACAGAATCTCAACATAATAACGAGTAGTATTTTACGCTTTACAGATATCTCTGATCAACGATTAAAATTTTTCATTTCTACTGTAAAATTTGATTTCGAAAAAGCTAAAAAAAACTTAGATGCGCTTTACACGCTTCACAATCTTCTTCCAGAATTTTATGACAATTTCGATCCTCTTAGCGAAGATATAAAACTATCCAACATATGCAAGTAAGTAATTAAATCAATTATGAATTATTTTTAAATTCGCACATGTTATTTTGTATATTTGAAATATAAAAAGTAATATCAGTTAAATCTTTTAATTTATGTTATAGTATTAAGTAATAACGAATAATTATAAGATTTGCGAAAACATGTGCACCATAATTTAAAATCTACTTTTGTGCTTGCAAACACATAATATTTTTATAAATATTTAATATAGTCAGTTCATCCCTTTGCCAAAGTTAACGCCAGATAAATATAGAGTACATATAGCCCGGCCAATAGATGGCTCTAAATTTGATATTTTGGCACTTATGAGGTACGTATATGCAATTGTATCCCCAATACGTAAATGTGTCTCCAATAAACAAAATGTTTGCAATGTTGGCAAAATATTAACAAATTTACTGTCAATCCACCATTGCAAACATTCGACTATCTGTGGGTCTATCAAGTAGAATAAGTAAACTATGAAGAATATACAATACACATACCACTATACATGAAAATATATTATAATAGTAAATAAACAGTAATTCAATTTTATTCCGCAAATATTTCTCAGAAGATTAAATTATCGAGCTTTGCAATGCCATTAATTATCTATAATTATGAAAAAAAGTGCTCACGAAAAGATTGCACATTGTAAAAATAAGTTGAAAGATGTTGAAAGAGTATAGAATAGATAAAAAAAAATTTTTCCAAAACAAGAAAAACGCACGTTATTTGCTAATATTATAGGTATGGCTTGATGATAATAGAAGAGCGCATAGAAGAAGATATAGTTACTAACAACATTATAATTTGCGACTCTACTGGTGTAAATATGAATCATGTGATACAATATACGCCAAGTCTAATAAAAAAAATTGACATTTGTATGGTACGTAATTATAATTTTACTATAGTAATATTGCTATAGTAATATTTAGTAAGAAAATTTTTATTATTTTAATTATTTAGACGGCATACGGTTTAAGAATAAAAGCGGTTCATATAATCAATGCACCACCATTTGTTGATATAATCATGAAAATGGCTAAACCAATATTGAAAGCAAAACTTTTCAATAGAGTAAGTCTGAATTAAATTTATAGATACATATGTAATTTATTAAATAATATATTTTGTCTTTATATTAAAACAATTAAACAATTTTAATCTATCGTATTATTTCATTCAGATACACGTTCATACCTCAGGAATAGAATCATTGTATAAAACAATACCAAAATCTATTCTGCCACTGGATTACGGCGGAGAACAACCGTCAATGGATACTTTAACAGGTAAAATACCGTCAACATTTTATATACATTTATCAACAATTTTATCAGTAACAAAATCACAAAACATTTTTATATGTTTAATGGAAAATAATTGTTATCTTAATTATCATATCTCGTACTCGTACTCGTATTATTATATCTCATACTTATTCCAATCAACAAACTAGTTTTTAAATTTATCTATACTTAAAAATATCTATTTTATTAGTAGTGATTATTTAAATATTAAAAAGCTGTTAAAATGTTTTTAAATATTTACGAACTTATTTTCATAATATTGTCGTGTTTCCAGATATGTGGCATGCGAAACTAGTCGAACGGAGGGATTGGTGTTTAAAAGAAGGAAAACGTAAAGCCAATGAATCTCTTCGAACAAATTCTATAATAAATCCGGACGATTTGTTCGGAATTCCAGGAACATTTAGACAACTACAATTTGATTGATATGAATTTTTTATACTAAATGAACAGACAAAGTTTAATTCTTTAATATGATTGTGTATTCTATCTGTTTATTGAAAAAAGTTGAATTAATATGTATATAAAATAGAAATTCATTATATGATGTAGAATTAAAATATGTGTAGAATCCATATATATATATATATATATATATATATATATATATATATATATATATATATATATATATATACTATATACTATAT